ATCTCTTCTTCGCACAGTTTCTCTCCTCCGCTCTCGTATGTTCTTGGTCTCTTGTGTCAATATGGAGTCTTCAACAACCCTATCCCTTTGTCGGTTGGGGACTCGGGCAGCCCCTCGTTCACCGAGTCTTTCATGGGCTGAGCGACGAGAACCTTCCGGCCCCAACCTTGAGTGTATTGAGTTTGGTCGTTGATTTTCTCTATCTCGACCCCCATGTTCATAGGGTCTCACGCGATCGGCTCTTTACACGACTGGCATGGGAGGAACTACCTGCCCCCGAACATGGGCCTCAACTGCTTGTGCGATTACTTACATTAGGACCAGCGTTATGGGAACCGCCGCAGGTACAGCCGGAGGTCGTGGAGGTGGCGGTATCTGCTGAGTTTCTATTATCCTTTGGCTTTGCGCGGGTACCTCTTGGTGAGGTGGACTACCCACTTGCTCCCGTGAATTTTGACGGCTCAACCGATCACGCAAATCTATGTGTTCTTCCACTTGCCATTTCTTATCGTATTTTTTCTTTGCCGTGAGCTTTTCCTTAATTTTTCCGAAGTTTCCAATAGAAGAGGACACGTGACTTTTTGTCAATTTCTCCACGGACGGCGCCAGTGTTGGTTTCTAGACTTTTGGGAAGCCTACCGAAAGTCCAACACAACCGGAAAAGATGGTGGATCATCGGAATGGATAAAAATGCTTGCAACGTTGATTAAAAGTTCTCCTCTATATTTTGAAAGCTTAACCCCTTTTACAGTGCCTTGAGAGACTATTTATAGGAATCCGAGTGACGTTAGACTCAGATTCAACGTAAGTACATTTAATGAGCTAATAATGGGTATTGAATGCTTTAAATGCGCACTAATCATTGTTGGCCACCATTCCCCCCACGATTTGACTCTTTAATGGTTGTTTAACTCCTCATTAATCAGGGGTTTTAATTGATCTCAACGGTCTTCTTAGTCTTCATCTTTTGATCACTCGTCGCCGACTCCCTACGCCACTCGGTCTCGCCTCTTTGTTTAGTATTCAGATGCCTCCCTTACTTATCCCCATCAGTTCCTAGTCGCCTTCTTCACTTGAGTCCTCGGAGTCGACCTTATCAACGAGAATGACTCGTTCGGAGTTGTTGATTCTAGCAAGGTCAGTATTAATCATCTTAGGCCTTGACGATACGTATCCTTCTTCTTCTCCAGCGTTTATCTCCGTCACTGATCGACCAAATCGTCATTGCCGTCCAGCCTTCAGGGTATATATCCCATCAAGTAGTATACCCAAAAATGAACATTCAATGTACTAAAAATAAATTTTAAATATATTAAAAATGAAGTTTATGCCAATGGTCCACCATTTAAAGTAGATTATGGTCGATAATGTAATGTGTGGGTGATGGGAATCTGGAGGGTAAAAAATAGGTTAGGATTAGTTATACAGTGGACCATGGTGTTATCGTGAACCAATAGTGTATCACATTACAAATATGTATATTATCAAATGAAACTCTAATAGAATTAAAATAATGTCAATCGGGCCAGCCCGCTCGGTTTCGGGCTAGCCCTGTCGAGTTGTCGGGCTAATCGGTTATTTTATTATTTTATTCTCGGGTTCGGTTTGGCCCTAACTCTAACTTAGAGTTGTCGGGCTAATCGGGTGGGTTGAACCATCTAAACTAAAATTAGATACTGGAAGTGAGTGTCCATATTTAGAGTTATAAAAACGACCTGATTTGCCGAGTTGAGCTCATTTAGCCTTTGTTTAAGCATGTTGGGTTGTATATTTCTCTGATCCGTTCCAAATGGGTTGTCCCGTTTAGCCCCTAAGGGGTACTCGTGTTATACAAGTTGGTCTCATGGCTTATGTAACCCCCGTGGGCACACCCGTATAACCCGCCAGCCCTATTTATACTTCCATCGTAAGTTTATTTAAATATTTATTAGTTTAAATGTGTTTGTAATTTTGCATTAGAATTTAAAAATAATGTAAATGCTAAGCATTAAACTCTTAGGATCCGTTTACTAACAGAAAAATGTTATCTGTTTTCTAATTTTTCAGTTCATTCTCTGTTTTCTGTTGAGAAAACTTGTTTACTAACACTTATTTTTTCAAATGGAAAATAGCACTTTTTCCCTCTAAGTTATATACTTATAGCATTTTTTTCCCCTGAATTATTCAAATGGCAAATTTCCCCCCTGAAATATTAAATGGACATATTTACCCTTAAAATAAATATTCCATTTATTTTTCTTCTCCAACAGATTATGACCATGATTTGGTTCAAACCGAACAGACACTATAGCAACCAAACCGAAATATTCTGATTACAATTAAGATAATTGAAACCCGATATTTATAGTTTATTAAAATCACAAACCGAAACGATCGGTTCATGTTTCGAACTGAAAAAAATAAAATACATTTATTGTTGAATTTAGACTATTTTTAAAATAAAAAATCAAATTTTAAAATAAAGTTTGAACCAGAAGTTCAAACTGGATTCGGAACTGTGAACTGACAGTTCAAAATCAAAACCAAATCGCAGTCATATATACTTATATGTAAGAATCAGAATAAATGTAAAAAAATTTTTTTAAAAAAAAAAAAAAAGAAGAAGAACATACACCATTTGTAAATATTATAATTCTAATTTTAAGCTAATTCTAGTAGTTGTTCCAATTCAAACCGCCAGTTCACGGTTCAGGATCCAGTTTTTTTATTCATGATTTTAATAAACTGAAATCCAAATATTGGGTTCTGGATCTTAATTATAACCTGAAACTTTCAATTCGATTGCTATAGTGTCCAGTTCAGTTTGAACCGAACCGTGGTCATCCATATGTATAAGCAATAGTTTGTTGGAGAAGAAAATAAATAAAATGCATGCTTACTTTAAGTGTAGAAATGTCAATTTAATATAACAGGGGGAAAACTGACACTTTTAAAATAATTGAGGGGGCTAATGTGCTTACATAAATAATTCAGGGGGAAAATGTGCTATAAACATATAATTCAGGGGTAAAAAGTGTCATTTTCCCTTTTTCAAAATTATTTTTTAAGATTAATGTTATAAAATTAGCACAAGTTTAATTTCGAGTAATTTTTAGATCTTATATTCAAAATATTTTTACATATGTTTGGTTTAAATGGAATAAATTTATTTACAAAATTTATATTATCGATCCTGGAAACTTCTAGGACAATTTTTTCAACAATATTCCAACCCATGCTTGGGATGGGAATCGATCCTGGGACCTTTCATTCAAAAATCTATAATGGGCACCATCAGACCACAAGGGAGATGGTAGATAATATTAATATTTATATATTCATTTGAATGACATGTATATGAATATATAACTTTTACTTTAAATTCTATTATATGAGAGATTTCAATATCCGATATCTGGACCGAACTTGTATTACGATGTAACATAATTAAAAATATTCGAACTAATAATCTATTGAGTTCAATCAAAATCTAAAACATTATATAGAGTTTAATTCTTAATTTTGATAATGTAAATAATGTCTAACTTTAAAGTGTAAGCAAATAAGTTATGTTTAAATAAGTAAAGTAAGTAGAAAAGATAGAAGATAGTGATAAGTAAAATAAGATGATAATGAATGTAGTCATAGTAATGTGGTTATAGTGACATATAACTAAATAGATAATAAATGATTATGTTTTCCATTTAGAAAACAGTTTTTAAGAGTGTTCCAAGCAGATGGGCATGCTACTTAATTTAAGAGTCAAGGCTCCATAATTAAAGAGCCTTATACAGTTAATTATATATATATATATATATATATATATATATATATATATATATATATATATATATATATATATAATTTATTTATTTAAATATATAGTTATTGATAGATAAAAATTATAATTAATTAAATATATACATTTATATAATACATTATATTTATTAAATATAAATATTATATAATGTGCAAAGTGTATTTTTGGTATTTGTGATATAAAAGTTATTCCCAGGGGTATGGGAAGGCAAATTATATCATGCACCGCGGTGCATAATCGATTATGCACCGCGCGTCAAAACGACGTCGTTTTATTTAATGAAAAAAAGCGTCATCTGTTTCGTGCCATTCCGCAAAAAGTAACTCTGTTATTCAGTTACATTTTTATACACTGTAGTTTTATTTCGATATAACTACAGTTTCATTTCAATATAACTACAATTTCATTCGATATTATAACACCAAAATATGTGAAAATGTTATTTAATTTTATTTTATATACACCATAGTTTCATTAAAACACAACTACATGATCATTTTGATATAACTACAACTTCATTACACAATATACACTCAAAAATGTGAAATGTTATTCAGTTTAATTTTATATACACTGCAGTTTCATTTCAACACACCTACTGTTTCATTTCAATTCAATTGCAGTTTCAGTTGATAATATAAAAATAATACGTGAGGCAGTGTCAGTTTAGATACACTGTAGTTTCATTTCAACACAACTACAGTTTCACTTCAATTGAATTGCAGTTTCAGTTGATAATATATAAAATAATACGTGAGGCAGTATCAGTTTAGATATACTGTAGTGTCAGTTGATAATTAATACACCAAATATGCACTCCGTTAACTTTAACAACGCGCCATTTCTTTACTTAAAGAAACGGCGCATTTTTTATCACGGTGCACGTGCACCGCGATCCACGATATAACGACTGGTATGGGAATAGCTAATACTATGTCCCACATAGGAATAACTATTCTCCTTGCAAAGGTAATAGCTCATTCCTAGGAATGTTATTCCCATGACAAAATGACTCAATCAAACAATAGAATAGGTCTATTCCAAAGAATGTTATTCCATTCCTGACCTATTCCATGAACCAAACATGCCATAAATAAAATTAGTACGTGTAGAAAATGAAACTAAAAAACAGAACTCATGCAATAACGTTTATTGTCAAATGAAGTTATAATGTAATTAAAATAATATTTGAATATTACTATAATAAAATTAGTGCGTGTTATTCGTCCATCTGAAAAGTTAAGCCGTTAACAATGCACTACAGACAGGTAAATGGTAATACTCAGAGTGCACCAATCAATTCGGAGGGCTTGGCATGAATGGATTCACTCCCAAACGACCCATTCTCCAGCACCCAATTTTCTATCATGGCTTGAGAATTCAGTGACTGATCAGTAGGGACCAAATGCCCAGCACCCAACACCACAATATGGCTCAAATTCCCCCACTTCTGCACATATCCTGCTAGCTCCTCATTCACCCTCCAAATCTTTCTCTCCGCTGCTAAAAACTCTCCAACCCCCTCCCACTCCATCGTCTTGATCCACGCCTCGGTCGACACCACCCCATCTCTCAAGTCACACTGCCCCTGATACAACAACACCTTAGTGTTTTTCACCAAAAACTCCACCATGTACCTGTAAAATAATTGAGGTGTATAAAGTTGCAAAACAGAGGTAAGTGTGTTGAAAGTTGAAACTGTTGTAACAACTCTGAGTCTCTGATAGCAGATGCTGAACAAAAAATAAAAACCTAAGGAATATATATTGCAATAATTATGTTTTTTGTCTTGTTCATTATAACTATTATCCTAAGCCATTTATATAAGTGTGAAAGACTAGAAAGTAGGATCAAAACATTAAATTAGGATCCTTATGATGGAATATAGAATAGGAGTAGTCAACCAATCAATCAGCCTGGCATGGGAAGGTAGTCGGACCGGCACTCGAACACAACACTCGACTCGGAACTCGACCAGTCAACCTCGACGGTAAAGGAAGAAATTATAAGAGAACTGCTCAATTATGAAAGGATAGTCATGGGTCACCTAAATTACCTCTTACTCCATATATTATCATTCTCCTTCATATAATCACTTTCCAATCTCATTAATTAGTCTACTTTACTATAAATACCAAATTACCATAGGGACAACAATTATCATATACTTTACCTTTTTCTCCACTATAAAAAGACCCTAGTCAAATACAAGAGGGGGACATCTAAAAATTCTCTAAATCATTCTACCTCTCCCTAGAGAGCACCCTATTGTACCATTTGTACGTGTACCAAACTATCAAAATATAGTGGATTTCGGCTTGACACCGCCCAAAAGACCCATGATTTTTACCGTTCAGTTTTCACGTTAAAATTATCGTGTCCCTTTAATTTTACTCTCAATTACTTGTATATTTTTATTAAATTCGGTCATCTTAGGATTCTTAGCCTGCCGAATGACTACCCCGGTGATCATAAAACCAACACCTATAAAATAAAATCTTTGACTAAGGTAAAAAGAATTAATCACCAGTAAACAATAATTAATTAATAAATAACATAAAAAATTACATTTTTTGTCCTCCAGTTATATCCGTAGTACAGAGTTAGTTCCTAAATTATATGTGTGACCAGTTTTAACACCTAAGTTATGCGTGGAGTGGCGATTTTAATCCTTCAAGAACTAAATCAATCACTTTATTAAGTGATAAATTGATAGTAAAAATAGTCCACATAGCTAAAATTATAATTTTATGTATAATTTAGGGGTTAAAACAAACAGGCATATAAGTTGCAGGACAAAAATACAAATTTCCCTGAATAAATCAGAAATTTAGAATTATGTCAGTCCGAGAATACCTCACGCTCTTCATCACGTCCGAGTGGAGAGCCTGGTCGACCAAATCGCTGCAAGTCTCGAAAGTAATGGTTTCCTTGGCTTTCAATAGCCTCTTGATCTCCACGCTGCTCAGCAATTTGGCCACTAACTCATCCTCGTAGGGCGTTTGCCGTCTAAAATCGTACAAAGTTGCTAGTCCGGTCATGTTTTGCAAGGCCCTCAAGACCCCTGTCCGAGCACTCACGGCCGCGCTCCAATTCCCCCTCTCGGTTAGCCCAACCGCCACCTCTTGGAGCTTCTCCAATTGCCTCTTTTGCTTGTCATTGATCAACCCCAGATTGTAGGCGTTAATGGCGTGAGTAGCCACTTGAGCCACCGGGTGAGTCAACCCGTTCCCAATGGCAACGCCGGCCAAATTCACCCTGCTCGACTCCGCCAAATAAGCGTTCTTCTTCAGGGTATAATACCCAATCGCCGGCACATATTTTCCGGCATAACTCTCGCCGGTAATGTAAATTGGGCGCGCCTTGAACGAAGCATCCGACGCTATGAACTTCCTAATCGCGATGAAAAGATGCTTCGCAACACCCAGTTGGTCCCTCGGGATTTCTTCCGGAGTCGAGGCGACACTAAACCCAGCTCCAATGGGGTTATCCAGAAAAAGAAGCCCAAATATGCGATTCCAAGACCCAGGGTTGGGATCTAAGGAAATCTGTTCTTCTGCGTTTTTCCCCTTAGAAGAAGAAGACACTCGCCAAGGGCCCAGCTCGTAGAAGTTGGCGAGCATGGAGGAGCAGCCGGGGCCGCCTTGAAGCCAGATCAGAATCGGAGTCTTGGAGAGAGGGAAAATTGGGTTCTGGGCTTCGTAATAAGTGTAGAAAATGGCGGAGCCGGTGGTGGAGTTGACCGTAAGGTAGCCGGAGTTGGTGGGAAGGGCTTCTTGAGGGAAGGGAGTGGATGATTTGCAAGACGAGTATTCAAAAACAGTGAAGATAAGGAGGTTGAAAAAGAGTGTATGGGTAAGGGATTTGGATGCCATTGATGGATGCGGAGAAGGAAATAGGAAGCAGAGTAGTTTGGCACTAGTAGCAACTAAAATTCATAGTTTTGACTTCAAACAGTACAAGAAGACTGGGAATCGAAGATACAAAATTATTGCTGATAGAACCGAGGTTTGCCACGTGCAGACACGATTCCTATCCGTCCAAAATGCCAATCAGAAAAACTTAATTCTCAAATTTTGTCTTCGTGGCTTAGCTCACAGGTTTAATATAGAGTACCTGAAGAAAGAAATCAAGATTCAAAATTGTGTAACAGCAGTGCAGCCGTGCATGGATTATACTTAAACTGAACAGATTCAGATCCCTTATGCAATCGACGTTTGATATATCTATTGAACCACTGATTAAATTTTCCTAACTAATTTCAATTTTCTTAAATGTTTTGTCAGATCAAAATATGAAATTTTTTTAGAATAACATCTACTTTAGATTTTTGTGAGCTTTTACAAGCCATGTAAAAGAGAAAAGCATGTGAAAAGAGAAAAAAAATGCGAAAAATAAAAGGCATTAGGAGCCTTTGCCCAAAGGCACATATGCAACAATCAGTATAAGTTTTTCCTTTTCCTCTAAAGTGGAGTTCACTCAAAAATCATATTTACGAAAGAAAAATCTAGTTAAAAATTCTCATTTCTTATTAGATAAAAATCAGTTTCTAATTTTATTATTATTTAAAAAAAAATTGAGGTAAATCACTATTGTAGTTTTTTTTTTTTGAATAGGAGTTTAACCCTTTGAGAGAGAAAAGTTAATTCCTTTTTAAGACGGCATTCAAATTAAAATAAGTACTCCGTATATTTAATACATAGTACCATAATAGTTTTTAATTAAAAATTAATATTTTATTTTTCTTTTAAAAAAACAAATCGAGAAAGGGGACATGAACAAGAAACATGCGTATAATGTATTAATATAAGAAATTTTAAAATATTTTCATATAAAAAGTATCAAATAAACTATTGTACTTAGAGCATTCTTACATGAGTTATTTGTGAGCTCCAACATCCACCTCATTCTCCACTATCTCACTCAATCACAAATAACTCTTCTCCATATCAGTTTTAAGTTTTTTCTCAATTTTGTATGGATTCACCATTTTTACCCACTATATTTTAATTATTTCTTTATCTATTTTATTTATAAATTTATTTTTAATAAAAAATAGTGAAACTGCATACTGGATTTGCAAATGAAACAAAAAAGATGGATGTGAAAAATTTGTAAATAATAAAACAATAAAAAAAAATTTGTAAACAATTAAACAATTAAAAAAAAATCAAATTTGCAAATGAAAAATATTGAATGTGAAAAATTCGCAAATGAAAAATTTTAAAATTTGTGAAAATTTTAAAATATAAATAATAAAACAATAAAAACAAATTAAATTAAATGTTAAAAAAACAAAAAAGACGGATGTATGCTGCATGTCTTCCAACCAGACGAATGTGGCCGCCAGCGCCTTTATTCTTTTTTTTTTTTTTTTTTTTTCTGACATGATCCTCTCCTTTGAGGATGATTATTTCTAGAATAATTCACATTCACATCTATTGCTTTAATTTTGTAGGAGTTTTGATCTTTCTCTGTAAATAACTCCAAATTCTTTTTTGATGTGGTTGCTCTTAATATTTATACATAATTGAGTCATCAAATTTAAAAATTGTACAATCACATTTATCAAACCATCAAACAATTAAAGTATGTGTAATTATTTTTTTTTTCAATTTTTCGGTAGAATCCTATCATATTACCTATATGATATGTACTAAAAGTTGTCAAATCATTGTCATACTAGTTAGAAGTAAAACTCAAATTACATTAAAAACATTTAAAAAATATCTTACTTGCACATATTTTACTTGTTTGATAATTTGATTGCACACTTTTTAAGTTTAATGATTCAATTGCATAACATGAATGACTTTTTTGACACTTTTTCCTATTATCATCTTTTCAATTTTATTAATTGTTCTATTTAGGGAATAAGTTTCAAATTTTATGAAAACCATCCAAAAACATTTCGTGTGAGTTTTGCTTTTATAACTTTACCTGGGAAACCTCTTTGAAAGGCATAATCAGAGGCGGACCCACAGTGGGGGCAGTGGGGTCAGTTGCCCCCACTCACCCCACCCCCACCTCTTATATAACCCTTGTATGTATATGTGTATATATAGTAGAGGTTTTAGTATAAGTATTAAAAATAGAGAAATGATAACAGAATGTGACTTAGCCTAGTTGGCAGAGCGCATGGTTGGCTTAAAGGTAAGCTAGGGTTTGAATCTGTGGCTGAGCATGTGGTCTGTTTTCAATTTTTTTGACATTTTATTTCACATTTTCACCATTAACACTATCTTTTCACATTATTTCACATTTTCAATATTATTAATAGTGCATATTGCTTCAACACAATAATATAATCTTCATTGATATTAATAATGAGATGAGATGTGTAATTTATAATGGATCTTTTATTCAAATTATTTTATCAAATTGAGTATATTCATATTTTGTTATGAATATTTTTATAATGTTTTGATGTGTTTTATAATTCTCCTATATCCAACATTATTTATGGTTATACTTTTTAAGTGTTTCATTTTTTTTTTTCTAATTATCAATTTTCCTTTAATATTTTGCCCCCGCTGAAAAAAATTCCTGGGTCCGCCACTGGGCATAATCCCCCCCCCCCCCTCCTCCCTATTATTTTAAAATTAACAATGGTTTTTTAATGTAAAATTCACGTTCCTAGCCACAATACAAAACCATTAAGTGAACTACTGGTATATTTGGCAGTAATTGAATTGTTTTAATACTATATACATTAGCAGTACTACTTTCTTCTTTCTTTCTTAAAAAAAAAAAAAAAAAAAAAAAAAAAAAAAAAAAAAAAAAAAAAGCAATACTACTGCTGTTAGATGGAAAAAGTAAAACATATTAAGCATATCTAATTTGAAAAAAGATAAATGAAACATTTAAATTCCTTGTCACTGTATCAGCATCAACATCGTTCCAAAATAGTTAGAATATAATATATTACACCATCATAGCAATAAGACCATTTCTAAGTACATAGCAAAACACGAAAAGGTTGCATTTAACATCCAAACTCCAAAATACTTTTCATAAGATACTCACCATCCTAAGGCATCCAAAATTCTAGCAATACACATAAAATCTGCACTTCAATATTATAACATTATGACATTTTCAACAAAAAATCTGCACTTCAAATATGGACTTCACAGTCCCTAGCCACAACACATGTGTTCTTTCTTTCCCGATAAATTACATGTTCTCCTGATTGTTCGGGCTACATAATACAATGAATAAATCAATTTCCAAACATGTTTAGGTCATAACAATCATATTATAATATTAGAATGCTTAGTTGAAATATTTCATAGAAAATGACTTACATTAATTATGACTACTCCAGTATTAGGATTTGTGTAAATACCCAATCCACCACCAGAAGACCTAGAAGTTGATGATGTTGTGTCTGTAGTAGTAGGGGGTGGACCTTGACCTCTAGTACTTCGACAATATGTTTTGGAATGACCTTGTTGTTTGCATATAGAACATTTCATAATCCCGTCTTTTCTTGACATCTTTCCAACAAGCTCATTAGGCTCACGAGTTCTTTTCTTCTTTGGCCTACCCGTCATCGTCCTCGGTACAGGGGCTAGGATTTCTTCAGCATTAGTTTTAGGCTAACTAAGTTCTCCATTCAAATGTTGAATTGTGTAGCTATAGATTTTTTTGTAAACTTCTTTGGAATAGCAATCATTAATGAATTCTTCTGGGTCTCTACCCTTATCAAAAATTGCACACAAAGCATGAGGGCAGGGTATACCAGTTAGATCCCAACTTCTACATGAACAACTTCTTCCTTGTAACTTAACTTTAAAGTGTTATCTCCCTTTCTTGATCTCATAATCATCATATCCATTGAAGTCGACTAGCCACCCAATTCTCTCCATTATGTTTGCATTAAGTTTTTTCATCACTCTTGGTCCAAAGTTCCCTGGCCATTTCTCCAAAGCTTGTCTTTTGGTTGCAATTTTTGTCATCATGCCAACTCTTATATCCTCTAACAATGGGATGATTGGCTTTGACCTTGCTTTGACAATTGTTCCAATGAATGCTTCACACATATTATTGTCCATTGAATCACACTTTGATTATGACCAAATGAATGCATTACACCAATATTTAGCAGGATAATCAGATATTCAGTATGCATCGGGAGTAGATCTCCACATTTTTTGAAGTGATAAGAGAAACTCACGTCCACTACTAAAGAGTGTGCACTACGTAAATCCTACTTAGTGATCGAAGATAAACTAATATATATTGTTCAAATCTGATCAACTAAATTAAAAATGTCAAAATGTTGCTCCCACTGGGAGTCCCCACATTTGACTTCAGTGGTGATGGAAGATGTGCATTGAAAATTTCTGACTTTTGTCCCGTGAAGCAACTTAAAGGTCCAATAAGTTGTATAGGTTCAGATTTTAGACAATCGTTATGCTATGGACTCGTGTCCAGCCTATAGTGTGGACACGGTAACGGTGCTGTTAGTGGCACCGTTATCTTCCACTTTTTTTTTTTAAATTTCAGACTGCTTCGTTTTAGGAGCATATGTTCATAATTTTATCACTATATGTTCATAATTGTAAGTTCATAATGTCATAGTTCTGTGTTCATAATTTCATAACTGTACATTCATAATTCCATAATTGTACATTCATAATTCTGTAACTGTACATTCATAATTCCGTAACTGTAAATTCATAATTTTCGAAGCTCTATGTTCACAATTTTAGAGCTCTATGTTCATAATTGTAAGTTCATAATGTCAGAGCTCTGTGTTCATAATTTAAAAACTGTACATTCATAATTCCAGAACTGTACATTCATAATTCCATAACTGTACATTCATAACTCCATAACTGTACATTCATAATTTTCGAAGCTCTATGTTCACAATTTTAGAGCTCTATGTTCATAATTTTAGAGCTCTATGTTCATAATTTTGTCACTATATGTTCATAATTGTAAGCTCACAATGTCAGAGCTCTGTGTTCATAATTCCATAACTTCATAACTGTACATTCATAATTACATAACTGTACATTCATAACGTCATTAACTGTACATTTATAATTCCACAAACGAATAACGCCGTTAACGGCGAGACAAAATCAATTTTTTTAAAAACTGAAATGACACGTTTTTCCTGAAAACGACGTCGTTTTGGACATGTGTCCACAATGCATTGTGAACACAGGTCCAGGGCATAATTTGCGGATTTTAGAGGGATTTATCGGGAGAATATTTCTGATGTATTGTGGTATTTAAATGTTACTCCGTAAGTCCGTATATACTAGCAGCAGCAAACTATAATTTGTCAAGTTATTAAAAAAGAAAAGTTAATATTTAATAGTATTTTTTTTGTCAAATAACAACACCAACAACAATAATAATAATTTTTAGACTATTAGTATATATTTATTTATTAATAGTGTAGAATTATTTAGTATAAATTTATTTATTTATTTTTTTGGGATTACGAGGGAAATTCGCCGCCACTATCTTGAGTGTGTTTTAGATAAACTTTGCAAATCATCCATGAGAGATAAACCGCACTAGGAAGATCATGTGTACGGGTTCGAGCGTGAAAGTGTTCGCAAAAATCAAACTCGTAATCTTCTGATATGAAAATCATGTTCCACCATCTTGATCATCCATACATATCGAGTAAAAATTAATTTGTAATCTATTGCTCTTAAATCCAATCAAAGTATTTTTTATTATAAATCGTTTCTTTATAATTTATTTCAATTTCATGTACAAGTCTTTTTTACCAGGACTATGTGGTCTAATGGTATCCGGGTTGGACTTCCAAGTGGAAGGTTGTGATTTTGAGTCTCTGGAGGCGTTATTGGCTCTTTGTGTTTCAGTAGGTTGAGAAAGTATATGAACAGATACCTACAATGTAACAGAGCTAGTAGCATTCAAAAAAAATGTACGAGTCTTTTTTGTTTTTTTTTTTTTAAAAAATATCCATACATTAAAATATTATTATTGATATTATTACTTACTAAATTTTTGTAGGAAAAATAACAATTTTACTCCTCCAATTATAAGTACTAGTTAGTTTAGTTCTCCAATTTTATGGTCATCATATATAACCCCTCTATTGCCAAGACTGTCACCACATTAATCACTAATAAGGTAATTAAAATGTTAATTCTGACTCTAAATCATGGTTAAAAAAATTGTTAGACGCTCGTGTATTTTTTATTTTGTAAAAAAATATTTGTTTAAAATTTTTAAATTTTTTAAGACTTGATAATTATAAACTATTTAATATTTTAATAATTAATATTAAAATATTAAATATTAATCTAAAAAAACATCAATAGCTAATCGGTCAACTAGGCGACCTAGTCGGTGCCTAGGAGCTCTAGCAGGCATAGACGACCTAGTCGGCTGCCTAGACCACCGATTATGGTGATACGCTAGACGATTGGCTAACGCCTAGTGCCTAGGCACCGATTAATTGATGTGTAGGCTGAATTTTTATAACACTGCTCTGAACACTATAATATTTGACTTTTTAAAGTTTTTTTAATCGAAACTTTAACAATTATATATGTAATTTCTTTTTGTTTTTTTTTTTCTTTTTAAACATTACAAAGTTAGGCTCTTGACCATTTAATAGTCAAAATTATTGTTTTCGCTATCTTAAAAACTAATTTTGCCATAACTTTGATAATTAAGACCAAATGTTGTAATGTGTATTGATGGGGTTTAATTTTTCAACTATAGGGTAATCTAATAAAATAGCTCTCAATTTAGGGATATCATAGTTGATGGCCCCAAGGAGCATGACCCAAAGGATAATTAAAGTGAAGGGCGGTCTTGACCAAGGAGAGTTCAATTAGGAAAGGCGGAGGTGAGCATTTTTCTAGAAAGATGGTTAAGGGCTCGTTTGGCAGCGTGGTATAGTAATAGCGAGCGATGGGAAGAGTGGTTCGCTTGGGTCACGGGGACGCAGACTAATGCATCGGTAAGTGGCGGACCCCATGGGGCACAAATGAATTGCCAGTGACTGGCCAGTGGACCGTTCCTAAGTCTATGGCTATGTTGCCTTTTTTGCCCTGTGCCCGGTCGCCTTGGCCGTCCATCAATGACCAAATAGGTATGACCAAGGTTTCGGTTCCGGAAATGACCTAACCGGAGGTTCTAACCGTGATTTTTATTTTTATTTTTATTTGGGGTGTAAAAATCTACTCCGTATGTTTTGTTTTAAAATTGTCCAAATTCAACAATTAATTTTTTTCATCTATAATTTTTTGATAAATAATTAAATAGTTATATCAAATATTTAAACTTTAATGTTAAGCTAAAAAAATAAAAATAATTTTGGCCTTGCACTTAATTTTACCAAGACTAAGTTGTCTACGTATCTTATTGAAATTTCAATAAGAATCAAAGCCCATGTAGTTTTCTTACCTTTTTTTTTTTTGTTGTCTTTTTTAAGAGTCAATTTGTTCCCCTTCGGTTGCAGTGGTTGTTGTATCACTGGAAAAGAAATCGTTGATGATGTAGATTTATCATTTTCCTGTTGTTTAAGTATTGTCAATCCCCAATCGTCTGTGCAAACTTGAATTTTGATTGATTGCGGCGTCATTCTTGAACGAGTATCGTCCAACATGTTTCCACATGCACTAAATTCTTGTTATACTTCCACAGTAGAAGCAATGGTTCCAAAAATTTGTTTTGCAATAATAGATAAAATAGAAACTTTGTTTTCATGGTCTTTCCACCACTGCAAAACATCAAGATCACCATCATTATCCAAAAATACAAAATCAGTGTTTGAATAAATTTCTGCTGGAGATGACGATGAACATGTCCCGCTTGTCCAACGACTTTTACCCGCTCTAGCTAACATGTTAAAGCCTCGACTTCGTTGAGATGACGGCGAGCTCTGCGACCTACTTCGAGAAGACATACTAATATTCATGGAAGGACCATAAGCCTGTAAATACTCTTCACACTAACTATGAAATAAATTTGTTATTTCATTATGTACATAATTAATAGGCACAAGTGTCAAATAGCACCATCTACTACTTCGAAGTGCTCAATTCCCCCCCCCCCCCCCCCCCCCATCATCTAAAACATAATGTAATTGGACACACTTACCTCCAAAAATTTATCGATTAGCTTTTTTCGCAAGTTACATCCGGTAGAGTCTGACTTGGCCCGGTCATTGATTATGTGGCAATGATGACATGGCAATTAAATAACAAAATAAACCAAAACATGTGCCTAATTCAAAGCCCTAATTGTTTATTCCTAATTTTTGAGAATCATTTCTTCCTAAATTGTGATAACCCTAGTCGAAGGTAATTGACACCACTACAGAAGACGACGCCATTGACGCCATTGATGACAGTGGAGAAGACGATGCCATTGACGATCTTGTCTGATGGATAATCCGTAGGAAAGTGAGACGAGCAAGTAGGTTAGCTGTGTATTATCCTATGAAATTCTAGTTCAAATAACTTGTCGAATGGTTGTTGTAGTGTAAAGTGGTTGTGGTCTACTTATTGTTCTGTAAAGTGGTTGTGGTCCTTCTTTTCTTGAGAATAAATATGCTTATTGTACTGTCCGGAACTTGAAAGTGTGCTTGTTCTACTGCTTTTGTGTATAATATGTCTGGTAAAGCTCTTGTGCGGGTCTTACAAGGGGTCCTACAAAACACAAGCTTTATGTATATTGTCTGGTTGTTGTGATATAAATTCTGCATTTAATAATTGTGAAAAAATATGTGAAAAAGATGTGTTGATAGATTAGTTGTGTTTTTGTCTATTTGTGGTTTTTATATTGTGTATTTACTTATTCTATTTTAGGATGTCAGATTCTATAGAATTACTTATTCACCATGGTGGTAACTTTATTTAAAAAATAAAAAAAATAAAAAAAAAAACCTAACCTTAAGTTTGTAGGAGGAGAAGTAGAATATGTAGTAATTGACCAAGACTTTGTATGTTATCCACATCTGATGAAGTATATTAAAGAGCAAAGATATGGTAAAATTGTATCACTAACATACGAATTACCTGAAGAATCCTTTAAGGAGTTGAAGCTTTTAAATAATGATGCCAGCAGTATGCACTTAGTTTAGATTACGTTGAAAGGTAGGAAGTGTGAGATATATGTTGATCATGGGCTAGATGATCCAGAATTGGTTTATATTATGTCTTTACCTGGCCCTGAAACTACAGAAACGGAAAATAGGCCTGAAACTAGGTGTTTGAGTGACATAGAATTGGACTTTGAGGGGTTTGAATTTGGGAATGAGGCTGAATTAGAAACTGATGGTGGGGCAGAATTTGAGACTGATGTGATTATGCTCAAGAATGTCTCAACTCAAATCCAGGTAGCACTGTTGTGATTAAAACATCTAGGGTTGTTCCTGATACTCCTTGTGTATTTCAGAGAATTTATGTCTGATTTGGTGCTTGTAAAAGAGGGTTTTTAGAAGGTTGTAGGAAGGTGATTGGGTTAGATAGGTTAGGTGATTTCTTGAATTGTTTGGATTATAGGCCCCTTGATGTTGGTAGGGTTGTTGTGGTGGCCTATTATATCCAACCAAATTAATTTGCTCAATGGGGGATTTGAGAATTTGAATCATTGGGACACTCTCCTAAATTATGTCCTCCACCACACAGATCACACATTAAAACTTGAGTAGAAGGAATAGGAGGAGTAGAAACATAACTTACATCTTGATTTTTCAAAGTGGCTTGAACAAGTTTTTATACTAAAGAAGCAACATTATCCACCTTAGCTGACAAGGCGGAAATTTGTTCCACTTCATGCATTCCTCCTACAAGTTTTTTGGAGGATATGATCTCTCCGAATAACAAGTGGATCCATTCATTGGTATTTTCTCCAATAGCTCTTCGACATGTGTTGGTTCCAAAACTGTGAAGGACCCACCTGAAGAGGCATCAACCAAAATTCTTGAGTTATCAAGTAACCCTTCATAAAATGCCTTATCATTATATCCTAGCTTTGTATCCCATGGTGTGGACATTGCCTTCGAAGCTCCTTAAATCTCTCCCAATATTCAGTTAAGGACTCACTTGCCAACTATTTGAAGTTTTGAATTGCTCTTCTCATCCTTTGGGTCTTGGAAATTGGATAGAGCTTCTTCAAAAATTCCCTGTGTAATTGATCCCAAGTGTCGAAATGGTTGTCTGGAAGCGAGATGAGCCAACTATGAACCTTATGCCTTAGTGAGAAGGGAAAAAACCTGAACTTGATGGCTTCTTGAGGTACGCCATTGATTTTGAAGGTGCCACAAATACGGAGGAACTTTGTGATATGAGAATTTGGATCCTCCGTAGGTGACCCTCCAAATTGATCTGAAGTCACCAGGTGCAAGTTGACTGGCTTGATTTCGAAGTTGTTAGCCTCCACACCTAGAACATTGATGCTATCATGTTCCTCAACATCCGGAGAGATGTAATCAGACATGGATCTTGCTGCGGGTGAAGGTTGGTTGACTCCACCATCACCCCCAACATTGACTTGAATTGGTACTTGAGCCATCATTCTCTGTTTTCTAAGTAACCTGGCTTCCTTTTCGATCTCAGGGTTTAAAGGCAATAATCCTTCACATCCCGAAGATCGTGTGCGCATAAAAACCAAGCTCTTAGATCAAAACAAAACCACACTAAACAACTCGTTAACGGTTAAAAAATAAAAATGAAAATAAAAATAAAAATGGACTAGACTCCTAGAATAAAATTTCACTAATGTTAATACTAAACGCCACTTCCCCGGCAACGACGCCAATTTGATTGTTGTATATTTTCAAACAAATAATACCCGGAGTATCGGGTAATCGATCCACAGGGAAGTGGGGTATTAAGCACTAGCTACTAAATTATTCTTTGTGAAGATAATCCTAATGATTATGATGGATGGTTGCAATAAATAAATAAAGCAAAGCAAAATATCAGGGTTTTGAAAACAATAGAGAGAGAATGAGATTCCTAGGATTCAAGTATTTAATCCCCTAGCACCTATCTTAAGTGCAACACTAAATCTGGGTTCAAACTAGTGTGAGAATGCAAAGATGGTATAGAGTTACTCCCGTAATCTCTAACCCTAGTGAATATTCGCTCCCGTGATATAAACACCCAATAATAACAAGAACAGTCATTCATAATTAATTCCTAACTACTACCATCTCCCGATTCGCAATAATCAAGAATTAAACTCCCTAACATATATGCCCTCTCCCAAGGTGCAAAAGTCAAGTGCAATTGTGTGTACTCTTAATTATGGCTAACTTCCGTTATGACATAAACGAAGTAATGAAACAAGTAATCCGAGCCCTGAACTACAAGCAACATCAATAATAAACACAATTGCAAGTTTGCAACACAAGTTTAAAATCCAAATAATAATATATTAAAGAATCTGAGAGCACAGACACAGGTTCATAAACACTTTTTGCCCAAGAATCTCTAATGGAATTTAGCCAAGCATGACTAAACTATACATAGCTAAAGATAAAGAAGAAATTACAAATTATCAAAAAGAGTACAAGAATGAACTAGGCGATTTTCCCAAATCTCCCTAGCTTTCTTCTTGCTTCCCAAAACAACTTGTGGCTCTTGATTTCTCTCTTTCTTGTCTCCAAAGATCTCTGAATGATCTCTAGAGTTGAGAACTGTGGGATTTTATAATAGGTACAAAGCAGGGGGGGTGAAATTGGAATTTCTCCTCTTCAATTTGGATTTGCCGCCTTTTTATTCTTTTGGAAATCGCTGCCTTAATGAAATCAGCACCTCTCGACGCATCGAGGGCCTGCTCGACACGTCGAGCGCACGCCATTTTAAATCATAAGGCGTACTGCCTTTTTTCGACGCGTTGAAGCCTTACGTCAGAAAACTGGTGCGGTCCGCATGTTTTCGACGCGTCGAGTCTTCTAGGCTCCAACTTGTCCATTTTGGCTCCAAACTCGCACTGGGAACTTTCCTTGCTCTTTCACTTTACCTATAATGGTTCCAAAACACTAGCAAATATCGTAAAACATTCAAAACAAGTGTGAACCATAACTAAATGATGAAACAAGGGATTATGCAATTAAATTAACAAAACTATGAGCTTAAGCCTAACAAATATAATCAAACTAATACTAGAAATGTGCACAATTAGACTCACATCAGGGAAACCTATGGGATCTCATTCATGAGCCGTGTTTTGCATAATCTCAACTGAGTATTTGTGCACACTTGATCCTCAAACACTTTAATAATTCTTGGTGTTTGGTTATTGGCTTGAAAATGGGTCTTATGTGCCAAACAGATATGACTCTTGAAGCATGTTGTTTTATAGCAAGTTGGTTGGTGGTATGTTTGGTTGTGCAAGAGAGAGTAGGAGTAATTGTTATGCTTGACTTGTGATTTATTCCTTGGTTTTTGCTTGAGGACATGCAAAGGTTTAAGTTTGGGGGAGTTTGATGTGAGTCTAATTGTACATATTTCTATTATTAGTTTGAATATATTTGTTATGCTTAAGCCCATGATTTTGGTAATTTAAATGCATATTATCTTGTTCTATCATTTAGATATGGTTCACACTTATTTTGAATGTTTTATGGTGTTTGTTAGTGTTTTGGAACCATTGTAGGTTAAGAGAAAAGACAATGGAAGTTCTAGGACAAATTTGGAGTCAAAGTGGATCGAAGGACGCGTGCACAGTAAGTTCAACGCGTCGAGCCAGGGCTCGACGCGTCCAAAATTTCCAGAAGCCGAGACCGAGATGCGTCGAGCGGCTATAGCAAGGACGCGAAATTCCGACGCCACTTTCGACACATCGAGCTTTTCCAGTAAGCTCCGGATAATTGAGGACACTGACTCTACGCGTTGAGCGGGTGGGTGGCCCAGTCGCAGTTTCGGCCCATTTTGCGCGGAATTTTCCTATTCTCTCCAGAATTGGTTCCAGCTATAAAAATCCACATTCCTCAACCCTAAAGGAGGTGGAGAGATATTTGGAGACAAGAAAGAGAAGAAATCAAGAGTCACGAGTTGTCTTGGGAAGCAAGACGAAAGCTAGAGAGATTTGGGAAAATCACTTGGTTCATTCTTGTACTCTCTTTGATGATTTGTAATTTCTTTATTTTATTTGATATGTATAATTTAGTCATGCTTGGCTAAATTCCTTTAGAGATTCTTGGGTAAAAATGTTTATGAATCTATGTCCTTGTGCTCTCATATTCTTTAATATATTATTATTTGAGTTTTAAACTTGTGTTGCAATTGTGATTATATTGTTGAAGCTAGTAGTTCAGGGCCCGGATTACTTGTTCATTGTTTTGTTTATGTCATAACGGGAGTAAGGCATAATTGAGAATACACACAATTGCACTTAACTGTTGCACCTTGGGAAAGGGCATTTATGTTAGGGAGTTTAATTCTTGATTATTGCGCATCGGGAGATGGTAGTAATTAGGAATTTATTATGAATGCTTCATCTTATATTGTTGGGTGTTTATATCACGGGAGTAAATATTCACTAGGGTTAGAGATTACGGGAGTAACTCTATACCATCTTTGCATTCTCACACTAGTTTAAACCCAGATTTAATATTGCACTTATGTTAGGCACTAGGGGATTAAACACTTGAATCCTAGGAATCTCATTCTCTCTCTATTGTTTTCAAAACCCTAATATTTTGCTTTGCTTTATTTATTTTATGCAACCATCCAAGATAATCATTAGGATTAGCTTTACAAGAATAAGTTAGTAGCTAGTGCTTAATACCCCACTTCCCTGTGGATCGATAACCCTGTACTCCGAGTATTATTTGTTTGAAAATATACTACAACCAGGACACATCCATTCTCTGTAGATGTGATTTTCGTATGTGCACTTACTATAAGTTGAGTGTGCACGCAACCTAGGTGGATGTGAATGGCGGAGTTGTGCACTTGAGTTTCGTAGTGTGTGCCATAATAAGTAGAAAAAGTGTGTTTGACAAGACAGTAAACCCTGGTGTGTGCACTTATATTAGGCTGCTTGAGCCATTTTGACCCCCAAAAAAACCGGTACCACGAATTCACGAGAACCATATGGATTTTTAATAGAATGTACAAACCATTGTAGTTCATCATTCCCTAGCAACTTAGAGAAGACGTACAAAATAGCAGCACTCTTCATGCAATTGTTTGTGCACACATAGCAATATGATAGCAGCAGATTTCATGTGTGGTAGCAGTCGCCGATGATAACTTTTCTTCGTCTCTATCTGAAACCTCACGAACGGCGGTCGGCCATCCTTCACTCCCTACCGCAAACCAATCGATCTTAGAATTATATATCAATTGGACTTCTTCCTTATCTCGTCATCCAAAAATCTTGAAAAGAATCCAAATATAATATTAGTTTATAATTGATAACTAGACTAATTTACACTAATATCCTTTCTAATTAATTATGTTTAAGATCCACATCAAAATGATTAATTATCTAGACCATTGATTGAGCATATTTGGATGGCTTGGATTAATTCTTAGCTAGGTTCCTACCTAGCAAACGTTCTTACTTGAAGCCCCCCTATTATTCGGGGACGGGACGGGGCAAGAAGTGGTATCCCCGTTCCCGACAAAGAATTACATATATTCCTTGTTCCCCAAAAATTTTATCCATCCTCGTCCCCATCGGGGCAGGGAGCAAGGACCCTCGTTAGGGGCAGAGCAAATTGTCATCCCTAGTCGGGCTCTAGGCAGATTTTGACGATATTAAAAATATAAATTTGAATACTATAATAACCCACAACTATTAATGATAAATTATATTTTAAAAACAAAAATGCAATAAATTAATATTAATAAGCTACTCAAAATAGCTTTTTTCATTTTCAGCTTATTGGCATTAATATGCTAAGCCAAAAAAATTATTTACCACACACTTATTTTAACTATTTAACCAACTCAAACAACTATAATTGGTCAAACAAATCAAACTTTGAGCGGTAAGTCAATTTCCAAATACTTGATTATTTTTATATCTCATTTAGTTATGTTTAGCTTTATATTAAACTTCACATATGTTTATTCTCCATGTCACTCCTACATTTTTATACAGCGAACAATACATATTCGGAATTTAACACAAAACTAACTAGGAATGACAATTCTATCCGCATTCAATGAGTTTTTCGCATTTCTGCCCCTACGGATTTTAAAATACTCGCACAATTTGAATAATAGGTCCGGGTATGGGGGGAATTTTGTATACTCGCGCGGGTATGGGGGCGGGTGCGGGGGAGGTATCCCGCCCCGCACCTGCACTTATATATATTGTTATTAGTATTCATTTATTATATAAGTTTATGTATATTTTATAATTAAAAATGCATAATGAATTAAACTTCTTAGTTTTCTGTTAATAAAAATTGAATAGGAACAATACAAATAACGTAATGAGTAAACACTTAATACAATTTATACGACAAACACAATTTTAGTTCGAATTAAGGATTGACTCCATTGGCCCTTATTAAATTTTAGAGTTATGTTCAAACTTATAAAAAAAAT